CTACACCGACGACCAAGGTCGCACTCGCACTTACTCCTACACTGCCGGCAGAGGTACCGGTTTTGTGGTGGAAGGCAGCGATCTCCTAACCGCGCCACAAGACTCCAAGTCCACTCCCGCCGCCACTCGACTTTCCTCTGGAACTCGAGGCTCTCCCTCTCGCCTGGGAACTGGATACTCGGCTGCTCCAGGGACCTCCTCAGCCTCTCGTGGTGCCGGCTCTCCCTCTGGATCTCCGTTTCCTTCTGCAGGAGCCGCCGCCTCTTCTCGCCAGAGCGCTGCCAGCCCAGATGGCTCTTATTCCTTCTCTTTTGACGCCGGGGATCACTCGCGAGCCGAATCTGCCGATGGAAACCTCAACGTCGAAGGTCACTTTTCCTTCATAGCAGATGACGGAGTCAGACGAAATGTTAACTACGCAGCCGGTGCCAACCGAGGATTCCAGGCTTCGGGAGACCACCTTCCTACTGCTCCTCAACCTCATTCCGCCTCCAGACCCGCATCAACTTCCTTTGCTTCTCACACTCCTTCCGTCAAGTCTGGCCCTGCTGCCTCCACTTTCTCTCGCCCTTCAACTCACACCTATTCTGCTTCGGGCTCAGCCTCCTCACCCTCAACGGGAGTCAGTGGACGTCCATTCGGAGAAGCTAACACGCGCACTCAGACACGCCCTGATGGAAGCTATTCCTTCTCCTACCAGGCTCCCACTCACTCCCGAGCAGAGTCTGGCGACGCAAATAACAATGTTGACGGCAACTTCGCCTTTGTAGCAGATGACGGCCAACAAAGGGCTATTCGCTATGAAGCTGGCTCTGATACAGGATTCATTGCTGAAGGAGCTCACATTCCCGTAGGACCTGAGGTTCCTGGGGCGCCATCCGGTCAGCCAACTGGAAGGATCGTTCCAGTGCGAGAAATTCCCTTCGTCGACCCTCTCGCTGACACCAACGCTGATGCCTCCTACAGCTTCGCCTTCGACTCGGAACAATATTCTCGCTCAGAGTCAGCCGACGCCGACGGAAACGTCCAGGGGACTTACACGCTGCTCGACGACCAAGGAACACGCCGCACTTACCGTTTCCGCGCCGGAGAAGGTGTAGGATTCGAGACTGAACAAGTATCCACTTCTCCCGGTGCTTCACCCTTCCGCTCCTCGTCCCCTTCCTCTGCAGCTGCAACATCACACTCGCCCTCAAGCCCTTCCACTTACACCGGTAGTGCTGCGTCATCCTCGAGGTATCCTTCTGCTGCTGCCTCCGCATCCTCTTCCTCTGCCGGAGGATTCAGGTCATCCTCTGGACCAGGATTCCAGCTGCGTCAGTACGACGCCACCAAGAACCCACATAAGGTCGGTTACGTCCTCACCTTCGACAAGTGAGAAACGCATTAGCTCTTCCAAATGTCTGATGTCGGTGGGAAAACTAGATTTTGAAATTAATATTTA